TTTTCTTTTTTTTTTTGCCTTGGTAAAATGATGGTGCATGGTAAATAGTGCACATTAATGAAAAACTAAAGTCCTGCATGATTCGTTCCTACAATGCATAATGAATATAAAACTACTTTCTACGTAGGCCTTAGAATACGTTTATCAATTTAACAGACGAAGCACTGTCTTTATTGTCACAAAAACACACAATACAAGCTAGAAATGAAATGAAAATTACAAAATAAATAGGTGCTGTTTCACGAGTTTTGAAAGGATTCATTCTTTTAAGTTGATTCTTAAACATCTGTTCATAAGCAACGCTGTTCAAAATACAGCCTCATTACTCAATCAGAATCGCGACAAAACAGGATAGCTTTATTTAGAATGACTTTATTGTATTTTTTTTTTGTTAGGATTTTTTGTTTTTGTTTTTTTGCAATCTGATTGTAAAAACTGAAAATTTTTCAAAACCTTAAACTGTGGATTTTATTCATACCACCTACGTGTAAACTAACATTATATGCTATTGTCACTGAGCCAAAGTTCAGGGATTAAAGAAAAATATGTTAATAACCTTGATGGTTAGCTCATAAAAACTAGTTCGAGCCAAAAATCCGAGTAAAGATAAAGCCTTCCAGATTCGTCCTTCAAAATCATCTTCGGTAAGTTAAAAAAAACTACATGGATTATCGAGTAGTTTTTTAATTTTTTTACTGTCATCATGAAGACTGAAAAATATATATTACTGATGATAAATATAACATACTGTCTTGAAGAAAAAAAATATTGACGAAGATAAAGATGGTTCTAGGCTTTACATCATTAGTCTGTCTAGCGGAAAGAATATAGGTAAATCTGCTTCACACTCTCTTTTTTTTCCGTAGTAAATCGACACTGATATCGATAATGTTTCTCAAAATCCCGTCTCCAGATCTTGAAGATAATTACGTTAAAATACGTCGATGGCGTCTTCTTTCTTGATCTCTTGAAAGTATAATTTAGCTATAAATTAGACTAATAGTATAAATTTTTTAAAGTGGAATTGGAATTTTCAATAAAAATCCGAATAAAGAAAAAAAAAACGTTTTAACGACAAATATTATTTTAAAATATAATTCATGCAGAATGAAAAGTATAAAAGACTAGTTTTATCTTTATAATTTGTAAGAAAAAGGTATCCAGTGAAACTATATTAAGTAAGAAAATGCATTCTGAGTTGACTTGTCTTACTGAGACACTAAATAAGATTTATAATCACTCATTATTTTAAAAACTTCAATTTACTCAACTTATTTTAAGTCGGACTAATTTCGTGAAGATGCCATTCTGGTTATCCTCGCTCAACTTTTTCTAGGATCCATCTATCATTCAAAGCTTATCATATGCTAAAAGTTAAATAGACACTATGAGGCCGTCATGCTCTCTTGAGCAAAACTGACTGAATACAAATGAAAGTTGATTGCATGTTTAGTTTATTTTTGAAAAAACAGACGCTTCAAGCCATACAGGTGTTAGTAACTTGGTTGGTTTTTGTCTTAAACCCAGAATAATAAACATGACGCCAAAAACCCGCTTCGATATCATTTATTATGTCAAAGCAAAGCAAGTTTTTTACTCGATTGATAACCATATGTATTCTTGAAATGAAATCATTTCTAAAGCTTCTGTGATTAAATATGAGTACATAAGATGGTATATGTCGCACTGTTTCAACCGGTATCGTCTTTWAAAAAAATAGCCGAAACTTTTGAATAAAATATTGGCTAAAAAAGGAAAGAAAAGAGCTACAATTTTCTAGTAAAGAAAACTAAATTAAATATCGAGTGAGAGCTATAAAGAAGTATAGATAATAAAACAAAAAATAATGGAAAGACGAAAAATAAGAAGAGATATTAAGACTTATGTTTTACTTTTTAAACGGTGAAAAAGAACACTGATTTGGTAGGAGGAAAGATGCAAGACAGATAAACACTAAAGGTCTGTTTGAAAAATAAATAAACTAAAAACAAAGCAAACGATATCCGACAAAAAGAAAGAACAAGAACAAATAAAATAACAATAACGCAGCACAGGCACCCCATTTCACACAATCAAGGCTAATCTTCCTCTAATGAATTTTCAATGTTGAGGCTAAGATAAATTGCTTAAAAAATTTTTTGTAACGCTAGCGAAACTTGCATTTTTTTAGAAATTTATTTTAGCCTCGAAATACAAACTTCATTTACAGCCTTTCTACACGTTAAAGCGAGCTAGAAGTCCAAAGAAATGATAGAGTGTGCAGTTACAAACGTCGCTGTTCAATAAATTTTTGATTTTTACTTAACTTTCTAATTCGCTCATATTAAGTATTCGAGTACAAAACAAGATCGTCTCGAGAAAAAGAAGAAAATGAACAAACGGAAATATGCTTTGACGTCACAAGAACCACATGTCAAAAATCCCGATTTTTTGGCGACAAAATAATGATGTTGAGCATGCGCAGTGGAGCAAAGTAAAATGATCTTATTTTTCCTGAGAAAACATGCAAAATACAAAAGCATATAATACCCTAATCATTTAATAGTTTCGTTTTATTTTTACGGTGTATTTTGCTTTTAACTCGAAAATGCCTTGGGCGAAATTATGAATACTCCTAACACCTGAGGGTCTAATTCATTATGAGCAAATTATTCGCCTCATTTCAACAAAAAATAAGAGAGATTGCAAGCAGTTAAATAAAAATGAACAATTGTATTTGCAACTTGGGGTAAACTAAATCATATATGATTCTGTAGATGTAGCAGACAGCGTGAAGCAGCAGTTTTTTTACTGTTTTTGTTAACTTAGCCAATGTGGGACTCTTGGTAATTTATGACATGATAACCAGGTTATCAGTAGATCAGAGCTGAAATCAGAGCGTAGTTCCAGCGAAAGATAACATACTGAGAAAGCAATAAACGTATGTCACATATTTAAGGTTATCCTATGTATTTATTCAAATGGATAATATTTGAGGATTACTTGGGTTTATGTCATACTGAATCACATAGGTCAAGATTACTGTCACTACATAAAACAACTCAGTGGAACCAAGATAGAATTTGAGCGCCAAGGTCAGTCCTAACTTTAAGGTAAAAAAAAAATTTTAGTCGAAGAGCTGTCGTTGTTTTAGCCGTCTCGAAGAACGGACTTCGTACCTTTTTAGCTGTTTTAGACCGGTTTAGTTTTTGATGGGGCTTCGAAACAGAATATTTTTACATTCATAAGAGATTGACAACCGCAATCAAGTCCAATGATTAGCTTTATAATTCACTCACAGCTTCACTCAAAATCTTTTCCTTTCCACTCTTAAGGTGTAATTGTCCGTCAGGATTGCTTAAGGCACTTGACTGGAGTTCGATTCATTATTTTTATAAGAGATTTACAGTCAATGATCCCGGTAGAAAAACAAACATACAATACTGACTGGTTGGAGGCTTTTAAGTAAAGTGAATGAAGTAACAGACAATTTATCATTGGATATGCACAAGATATATTTTTAAATTCGACGCTTCTAGCTTATGGAAAGAAGTATTTTGGTTCTACGACTATAATCGGTTCTGTACCACACACGGAGAATAAAATCTCGATTGTGGTTTTAGAGATGTAATATCATGTTCAATACTGACCAAGTAAAACAGCCCTTAAATGTCAGTGATTCTTGACATCGTTGACTGAATGTTGGGTYAACTAAGTATCCAAGTCAATACAATTCAATTTTCGATCTGTCTTTGAGGACAGCTGTGTGGTAAGTACTATTTACTTTTGACTCTTAATACGTGCAAATACTGCTAAAATGACAAGTTCGAGCCACTTTACATCGCGTACCATATCAAAGTAGAATATTCTAAAAGATAAGCTGTGTAAAACCCTAAAAAAAAATAGGTTCCACCCGTGCTAGAGATCTTAGCGATTTTGCTGGAAGTGTTGTCATTAAAGCGGAGGTGGGGAATTCTAGATAAACCTGTTACCATTTTGGTATAAAAACAGCTTCTGAAACATCAAATATTTCATAGAAACGACAGCGGTGAGACGCGCGGGAAAATGTTTAAAGTTTGACTTAATCGTTTTTCAAAAATTTCTCCACAGATTTGCTTTTGAGTGAGGAAAATCCTGATGCCGAATTCGTCATTACCGACGGTTTTCCGAGGAGCAACAGCCTCGTCGTTATATTCAACGATGTCCATCGTGACCAACACCAACACAACAGGGATCACAGGCGAACAATGCCCAAAGAATCAAGACACAAAATTTGAGAACGCTATCAAAATTCTGCTTTATGTCATCGCTATGCTGGTATCTCTCATTGGTAATACTTTGCTAATATACTCCGTGAAGAAACGAAAACGCATGCGCACTGTGACGAACTTTCTAATAGTCAATATGGCAGTTGCAGACCTCTTTATAACTGTATTTAACATGCCAACCTATTTGAAGATCCTCATAACGCAAAAGAACGACTGGATAGGGGGTCCCCTGGGGATACTTTTGTGCAAGCTGGTCCTCTTTATCCAGGGTGTGTCAGTTACTTGTTCAGTATTGAGTCTGACTGCATTGAGCATACATCGCTTTGTATCTGTTTTCTACCCGTGGAAGAAACTTATYGACACCAGAAACGTAAGGTATATCATCATTACGATATGGATTGCATCTTGCATGTTCATTTTGCCATTACTGTACGCACTAAACGTCATACCAGTGGATAATGTAGGGCTTGTGTGCGACGAAAAGTGGTCGCCATTATTTGACGAAGAAGAAGCACCAAAGACATACACTATCGTCCTCTTCGTGCTGTTATACATGGCACCTTTAATGATCATGGCAGTGCTCTACACGGCTCTAATCCTTAAACTCTGGTTCCCATCTTCGTCCGATGTTTCGGCGAATGTAAGCCGAAGACAGTCCGAAGAAGCTCTGAGCATTGCCCGAGTTCTTAGCGACGAGAAAGCGAAATCTTCCCGATTATCAAGATCAAAGAAAATCGTTTTAAAAATGTTAGTGACAGTTGTGGTGGTATTTGCACTGTGTTGGCTTCCCATGCACGTGCGGGTTTTTTTGTTCTTTTTCAACAAGGATGACTATAAGTGCGGGCTTCCACCTTTCTTAGACTTCATTGGTTACTTTCTGGGTCACGTGAACAGTGCGCTAAACCCTTGTATCTATGTCACTTTTAGTGAGAGCTTTAGACAGTCGTTTAAAGCAGTTCTCTTCAACAAATGTGCCGTCAGAAGGAAACCCAAAATAACTCGTCACTACCACTACAAGGGAGCTTGCCTTGTCGAAATGCAAAAACTAAGAACTAATATCAAACACAAAAATTAAAGAATTCTTCTAGTTTGTTTAAATAAATTTAAATATGATAATTCAAATAACTAAAATAACTATAATAAACTGAAGAATGTAATAAGTGTAGAAAAATATCTGAAGAAAAAAGCTTATTCAACTCGCAAAATTCATGTCGTAAGAAAAGAAAAAAAGAAAGAAGGAAGGAAGGATTAAGGAAGGAAGGAAGGAAAGAGAGAAAGAAAGAAAGAGAGAAAGAGAGAAAGAAAGAAAGAAACCTAGCTTAACGCCCCAACACTCCAGTTTATAACCATAACATCATTAAAACAACACGAAACGATTGTCGGCAGTTCAAATACAGAATATCCGACCTAATAAACACGGATTACTAGAAATAGGGCGCGCTATTCTTTTTGAAAAGGTCATTTTCATGTCGGTAGTTTTAGAGGATCCTCATTAAATTTCGTAATTTGGCCCGAAGGCTTGGAGCCGCTTTGAAAAATTCACAGAGACAAAACAAACCTTGTAGATAAAGTTGAAAATTAGGTAAACAAATAAATGAGACGATTAAGGTAATCTTTTAGCCAATTCATTACAGGGTTCAGATTAAATAAATTACCCTCCAGAAATTCAAAAGGTTTTATCTTACAGCTGAAGGAAACAGAGGCCGATGAAGAGACGGTGTCTAGATAAAACTGTGATTTTATGTGGGAGAACGATTGATAATGTTACCATATGCCTTAATAAACAAACCCAATGAAAGATAGAAATTCCTGAAACACCGCGGTAAACAGTAGGGGTTTGGCGTCATTTATTTTGAAAGACAAAAAAAATCAAACTTTATCCATACCTTGAAAAGACCTCTCACTGCTCGAAATCAGAGCACGACTAACTCGCAGATTGAAGTCTGAAACAACCTTCGGGCTGATCTAAGTCAGGGCGTGGTTAACTCGCRARTTGAACCCTGAAACAATCTCTTGGCTGATCTAAGTCAGGGCACGGCTAACTCACAGATCTGACCCTGAAATAACCTCTGGGCTTATCTAAGTCAGGGCATGGCTAACTCACAGATC